TCTTGCGAATGGGTCTATAGTATCCTCCTCTGCATACTCTGTCAAGCGTTCCAAAGCATTTGTGAGTAATTCTACTGGTAGAGCTCAAAGCAAATGATAGTATTTTGAAATGGCAAGTATATACGCCCGTGGCAGTTAAGGAGTTAAAATTATAATAATTGATGAAATATCTCAATATCTTGAAACAGTGTTGAGTGGATAATCAATTAAAATTGAAATTTGTAATCAATAACATAAGCCTTTATAACTTGACATGTATTGCGTTGCATCAACATGAACGTAATATCACAGATACAATTCAGTTTTATATTGCGGGCAAAATGATATGGTCCCAGTCTGACAATCATTAAACAGCCATTTCATTTTTATTTTTTAATTTTCATGTATTTTAATCTTTGAATTTTTATGTATAAATATTAAAGAAATGTTCATTCAAATGTCAGTCTTGGCCAGAGGCTATTGACTGCTGTTCATTCAACCGCTAATTTTAGAATACGGAGAGGAAATACTAAAATTAAAAATGAGGAATTAAAAGCCTACTGCTTAACTGATTTATATAGTTTTTATCTTGCATACATATATATACACACTAATGGGTAGATGCTGAATACTAGTATTTTGACTAGGATTCGAATTCCAGCTAATCGGTTGGCTTTATGTGCATCGATTTCCTCTGTATTGTGGATGTAGACCATTTTCCATCCCCTGTGAAAATATTATTACGGACAGATAGCCCTCATATGCTGTGTCATAATTAATTAAATGAGCAAAAGGCGCTTGGGCAACTCTTTAAATTTTAACATGTGGTGTGTTATTACTGTGAATCTAGTGGAAGATGATTTTTTGAATTAAAGTATAAAAAAGTTATTTCATATAAAGATGCATATAATTTACATTTTCAATCAATATCCATTCATTATCACATTTGCTGCCGATAACGTACTGGTGCGGGATTGGCATTATTGCTGAAAAGCCAATCTCACTATGGCGTGTAGTGTGGAGTCGCATCTCGGGTGCCAGACAGGCGCTGGCTTAGGAAAAGTAACGTCTCATTGTTTATTTTAAAGTTTAGTTGGCATAACATTTTAAATATGTAGGCTAGCATTGGAGTGGAGTGAAAGTTAAAAACTAGTTTTAAATGTACGTGGTTTGGAATGACAACAAAGTTTCATTTCACACAAAGATCATGCACAAACAACGTTCTGAAACATGTATTTTACAATTTGTGATAAGTTATATCAAATAAAACAAAATTTACAAAAATAATGCATAGGGAAGGACTATTAATTTCGTTTTGCTATTTTGTGTCGAAACCTTTAAAAGGCTGTATCACTTTTCAAATCGTTGCCACCAAATATTATCGCCCTGTGTTATATTTGAAGAAATTAAATAATGAATCTGCATAAATGTATGTATGTTTCTCGCATTGTGATAAAACAACGGTACCTAGAGTCATCAAATTTGGAATTTGATACAAATTTCATATTTTGTAAAACTTGAGCAAATTTTTTATTAACAAACTCGAGGATTTCAAAGCGAGCGATGACAACGTTGTACAGAAAAACTTTTATCTCCAGCGCGTGAGACTGTATCAGAAATTCTAAAGATATGCTCAATTTAAAATAATTTTGCAACATTGCTCTTTGAACTAAATTTTATGGTTTAAGTGTGAAGAACATATTTAATAAATAAATGCTAAAAAAACTCCCCTTTGGTTTATAATCTGAAACCATTCAGGTTGCCTTTTCCAAGAAAGGCAACTGAAATGATAGAAACAGATCTTTTATCCTTCCATTTTATGCAATAAATTGAGTCATCATTAACTGAAAAGTCTTATATCTCCTCTCGACATAAATTTGTCTTCTTTTAAGTTTTTGGGTAGATACTTCCGATTCATGTTTACAGTGTCACATGCATAGATGTTCTATGTCTTTAAAAAGCGAAACAAATTATAACTACTGAAGTAGTTGTCCATGAAAACTGTATGGTTCTTATCATAAAGAGGCTGGCACAAAGTTTTCACTACTCTCTTGCCTAGATTGATTTTTTTTGACAGAGTCACCGAGTTTGCCAGTATAAATTTCAAATTGGTATGCAAATCCAGTGCCATCGCATTGCATCCATACTTTGTAATGGCGTTTTATGGTGGTTTTTTTTTTTTTTTTTTTTTTTTTTTTTTTAGGTATCTACTGCTTTAGGCTGCTTCTCTCTTTGAAGCGAATCGTTGATTCGTCAATTGTCCGAGTTTTGTTGGGATTGAAAACTGCCATAAACCTTTCCGAGAGATGCTTTAAAAGAGGGCGTATTTTGTACAGCTTATCAAAATTAGTGTCTTTTCTATTAGTTAGGTTAGTAGAAAAAGGAAGAATTATCTATTTCTTAGGTTGTAAACAATTATCACTTAGATGAAAATTTCCCAATGTCCAACTGAACCTGTTGGCAGGCATTATGCATGCTATATAATCATCGTGTAATAATTGCATGCCAATTTTCAAATGTATGCTATATAATCATCGTGTATCGTGTAATAAATGCATGGCAATTTTCTCCAGTAGTCCCGATAACTTGGAAACTTTTTTACGTCCATTAGCAAATTTACAGCGAGAAATCGAAAATACTCGTTACTATTAAGAGGGGAAAACACACTGTTGTTCTGTTTGATTAAAAAACAATATGTTCTATGAACTTAAGTATGAATATACTTAGGAATAAATTTACAGGTGTTGGATCATCCAAATCAAAAATCTCACCTGTCGGTCCCGAATCTTCTTTGAATTCTGGCAGTGAAATATCAACTTCTTGTTTGTTCCAGCACGGAACACAAGATTCTCTGAGGGTTCTGCAAACTCATTGTAACAGATATCCCTTTCTTCTTCAGCAATAACTTCAACATGAGTTATTCTCTCGTGGATTTCAATTTCATCTGAATCAGAACTGACATCTGAAGCATTTGAATCGCAATCGGATGGCAATTCAGCAAAAAGATCCAAAGCTTCCTGAGTTGTTAATTTTTTCCTAGACATTTTAGCACATCAGAACATACAATGGATGTAAAAGCCCTCGCAATCATGAAAAAAGTAGATGCAAATAATAATAATAATAATCTTGAGTGCTATTGAGCGGAATGAAATAACTGAATATTAAAAAGAATCATACATATCCTAAATTGTATACCAAAATTTTTTAAATATTGAAAAATGCAAGATGCCTGGATATCACTCTTGTGGTCCTATTTTGAATATTTTTTAATCATAAACTTAAGCCCTGATATAGAAGTGACATCTACTGAAAAAAATAATAACTAAAATCGATTATTTTTAAAAGATTAGAACAATTCTAATGGAAATTGCTAACTTGAGAAAATAAATATTAATTAGGCGGGACACATTAACCCACCATGCCGCAAAGTGTTAATGCATGTTCTTTACTTTTTTCTTAGTTCTAAATTTTTTAACGAATAAGATGAAAATATGTGCATAACAAAAAAGTCCCAGTGGTCAACTAAAACAGTACTTTGACTATGCACATGCAGAACAAATTGTTGAAATTAAACTTACAATCTGCAATTTTTTAAATTATTCTTTCAAAATGTTGCATGCAAACAAGTTGTAGATTGCAGGATATGTTTTTGCACTTTTTGAAGAGAAATATTCCTTAATTAAAAAATGTTATGAAAATGAAATGCATGATATTAAAATTTCTAAGTGCAAAATAAGCATTATTATTAATTGGAAAGAGACAAACTATCATCATTACGTCTACATGAAAAAAAGACTCCAAACGAATACCCGAAAAAATATTTACTGTTCCTAAAGTTACGAAGTCTTTTTTTTTCCAATGCAGAGGAGCATTGTTGCATTTAATGAGTATTTCGATTCACGAAGTTTTAAGCTTTGATTGTTTCCCAGAATAATTAGATGTTTTTTATTAGAACAATTAGATTATGTATGGAGCGAATTTTGAAATTTATTCGTAAATTAAAACAGAATCACCGAATGCTTAGAATTATTTCTTTTGAATTTTTAGTTCAATCATGTAGCATTGAGCGGAAAACTAACAGGAAAAAAAACTTTCTGAAAATCAAAAAATGCCTGAATCATATTCTTAATAACTGTTCTTTAGCTGCCGTTGTTCAGAAAATTAAGAATCTTTAACTATATTTTTTAAACATAGAATTTAATGTTTTGAAAAGAGCGTATTTCAAACCGGGAAACAGGACGAGGTGGCCGAGTGGTTAAGGCGATGGACTGCTAATCCATTGGGCTCTGCCCGCGTGGGTTCGAATCCCATCCTCGTCGAATGTTTTTTTTAATAATAATTTATGATTATTTATTTGCGTCTGATTTCACATGACATCAATCATTAGCATTTATGACATTCAATTAGTACTGACATACACGGAAATATTAAATTATGGGTGAATTAGTTTTATTATTTATTATTTTTCTCATTAATGTTATTTAAATCTTTTTCAATCAATGAAAAAATATTATACAACTTCTCGTTATTTTACACCACATATCACATTTAATACCACTTTTGTGACCTTTTTTTTTATCGATATTATGTACATTTATAGGTTAACTTTCTTAAATGATATTTTATGGGGTTCTTCCTGTTCCCTGAAGGTAATATTTATTTCAACCTAGTTTCAAAACATAGCCATCTCGAGGATATGCGATTATGTAAAGAATGACAATGAAAATTCTGAATTGCATTTAAGTACCATTTGATTCCAAACGTCATCAAATTTTATTGTTATCCCTCTCAGAATGAAAGAATACATTTTGCTTAATCAATTGAATTACACTTTGGGATTTCATTATACTATACTATTACAATTGCGATAAAATTCTAAAAGTTAATTCGGGATAGTTTATATTGTTGTCCCTAGATGGCGGCAGCAGATAAACTGCTGATTAGCATAAAGCTAAGTAAAGGTCCAGGCTCCACAGCAGTTAAAATAATCGCAACGCGGAAGAAGTCTGCAAAATTCAATTCATTGCGATTAGGATGCTGAGGCAAAAATCTTCCCGTAAATTCTTTTTTAAATAAAAAATTTATCTTGTTATCATTTGCTCACATAGCAACACTATTTTACAGTTACGAAGTACAGCCTGAAGTGGCGTTGATTGAAATTGAAAGGTTCAGTTATATTTCGTAAAAAAATATGGCACGAGCTATCTTCATTGACAAGAACTATTTATTTATTTATTTATTACTATTATTACTTTTATTTCCGAGGAAAAGTGTGCATCAGACGGTATTTTGAAATGTACTAAGTCTTTCCATTTTAAGTTATAATCATATATTTTCATATTCTCTGATTTTGAGGTTTAAGTTGCTATGTACTTCTCGCACCTTTTGTCAGTATATTTCCCGAATATCACATCCTTTACAAAATTATTATCCGTATGAAACCTTTTCTTGAATTTTAATGCATTTAGTTAAGATGATATGTATAAGAATACTTACTTTGATTTTTGAACCAAAAAATTATTTTTAAGAAACGGATTTGAGAAGCCTAAAATCTAAAATAATTATAGCTATTAATAATAAAAACTGCATATTTTATCGCTAAGAATTATTAATATGGTTGAATCCCAATTAACCGAGACAATGCCGAAGACGAAGCATTGTTAACCCAAAATCATGAATAATTCGACGGCAATTAAAATGAATTAGAAAAGAGAAATAACCTATATTGTAATTAACAGAAAATGCTATTAACAATTTACCTATACTTAAGTTGTTTAATTTGGAGAATAAAGTGACCTGGTTATGTAAATTAAATCACATTTAAAACAAGAACACGCTTTAAAACAGGAATTATTACTGTTTATTTCGATAAGAACCAATGGAAAAAGAAAATTAATGACGGTACATTTAATTTATATTTACGATTTTAGCAGTTTATTTTTAACGGATGATTTTTCAATGCTTTTACATTTCAGATTATATAGCGACTAAAAATTGCGTACCGTTGTGAATAAAAACAGTTCCTAAATATTATTATATCATCTGCTATCAATGATACTATTTCATGCACTCCCCCCCCTATTTCCCGTATAAATTTTATTCTGATTGTTTATGATACAGTTTTTTCCATCATAAAAAAAAAAAAAAAAAAAAAAAAAAATCATTTGTTTAAAAAAAAAATTATTCATTTGTTTAGACAAGGCTTAGTTAATGGGGAGCTGAATGTATTTGAAAATGAAAATGAAATTTAAATTCCAAAAGAAGAAAATACCGAATTTTCCGTATATGAGTTTTATTCTCTAACTATATTGAATTATCTTAACTGATTATTATATTGTTTGCATCCTTATACACGCTGACAAATTCAAGAATTAAAAAATGATGACGATTATTATTATTTTGAATGAAATTTTAAAAAATAATAATGATTTTTTAAAAAAATTTCATGTTTATATATTTTATGGGTTGCCTGTCATGAATGTTATCATAACAGACGATATGATAAACAGCCAATAAACAAAATAAACTTATTATTTGTTTAAATATTTTCCTCACTGAATTATCTTTATTTCCTTCTTCATTTCCGCAGACGACCTCATTTCTATGTTCCAAGAAAGGTCAAGACTTGACGTTCTAGATCATGATTCAACAACATGGGGATACAGAATTTAACGATCATCAGCAGTTCGCCATCGAGAGAGATCAAGGACAAGGATCTTGTTGACATGAGCTAACTTTTTGATATGTTAATCCCCCCCCCTCCCAGTTAGCAGCGTAGACTGTGACGTCATAAAAAGTCGGTGATGATTCAAGGACTGTCATGGGTTAGTAATGACAGATATCATAATCAGTAAGGAAATTTTAACGTGATTTATTTCTCAAAAAATTTTGAAATCGTCAATAGCAGATTTATAAAGGAGCCTTTTGCTCCCTCTCTTGAATGCTATACAGTGTCTCATAAAAGTGATGGGACATTTGTGCTTTACAAAAGGAAACTGTTGGTAAAATAAATTAAGAAAACATGTAAAAATTTTTGTGGGTGTGTTTCATACTTAAATTTAGTAACAAGTATTACATAACATACATTTTCTCAAAATATTAAAATATTAATTTAATAAAAATAAAATTGTTTAGAACGGAGCAAAAAATGGCTCACATAAGTGATGGGACACTTACTTTTCCATCAAATATTTATCCAAAAATTTTACTTTTTAAAAGGTTTTAATATTTTGTTGGATTTCCTTTTACTTCTAAAACATGATTTAATCTTCTTGGAATGGATTCGACTAATTTTCTTTTGTGATTTCTGAAGTAATTTTACCCTATTCTTCTTGAAGCACCGATTTTAATTGTTGTTTTGAAGAAATGGTGCGTTTGCGAATTCTTGATTCCAATTCTTGCCAAATATTCTCTATGGGATTTAAGTCTGGAGATTGTGGTGGTGTTTTTATTATTTCAGGAGAGTTATACAGCAGCCAGAGTCTAACGTTCAAAGCAATGTGCTTGGGGTCATTGTCCTGGTAGAATTTAAAATCGTTATGAAGGTTCCATTTTCGTGCTGAAGATTTCAAATTTTGATTTAAAATGTCAATATACTTGTACCGATCCATTATATTGTCGATAAAAACAAGATTACCAACTCCAGCGGACGACATACACCCCCATACCATAACTCCTCCTCCACCATGTTTTATTGTTGGCACCAAGTTCTGTTTACGAAATTCTTCCCTGGGTTTTCTCCACACCAAGATTCTACCTTCAGAACCAAATATATTAAATTTATTCTCATCAGCAAGTATAACTTCATTCCAGTAATCAGAATTCTTATTTATGTTAGATTTTGCGAAAGGCAGTCTGAGTTTTCTATTCTTTTCACTTACGAAGAATTTTTTTCCGGCTGCTCTACCGTGATATCCAGCAGATCGAATTACTCTTCTAATAGTCTCAGGATTAACAATTACTCCATATAATGCTTGTAAATCAGCAGCAACTTTAGAAGCACTCATTCTTGGTTTTTATTTAATATTTCGAACGATAATTCGCTTTATTCCATTGGATAGCTTTGATGGTCGGCCAGGTTTTCTTTTATCCTGAATCATATGATTCTTTTTATATCGTTTAATGATATTGAAAACTGTTGAATGACTCAAGTTAACTGTTTCAACAGTTTCTCTAATAGATTTTCCACGTTCAATATGCAAATTAATAACTAATTTTCGAATTTCAGGCAAAGTTTCTTTTCGTTTAGCATTCATGGCTGCACAGAGCTAAAAAACACAAAAATTCCAAAACAAACTGGAGAGAAATGCTGAAGACGATTTTATAAATTACTGCCAATTGCTTTTGAGTAAAAATAAAAACCCCAAAAAATATTTTTATTGTAGTACGTAGTAGTATCTAATGGTGTCCCATCACTTATATGAGTCATTTTTTGCTCCGTTCTAAATAATTGTATTTTTATTAAATTAATATTTTAATATTTTGAGAAAATGTATGTTATGTAATAATTGTTACTAAATTTAAGTATGAAACACACCCACAAAAAATGTTCACATGTTTTTTTAATTTATTTTATTACAGTTTCCTTTTGTAAAGCACAAGTCTCCCATGTTTAGAAGGATAAAAATGTTATTTAAACTCTTGTGTAACCTTCTTATGCTACCATGTGACTATTTGTCTTTCCCTTTTTTTTTTTTTTTCACTTTTTTAACTCTTTCTTTTTTAATTTGTCTTCTTTTCAAGAAGTCTAGCAGGGCACTAATCAATACAACATGAGTAAAATCATGAGTGTAATCTTGTAACTAAAACAAAAATTTTAATAAACTTATTTCTCTGAACTAAAAACATAATAAAGAAAGTAAGCCGTTCTTTGCGAGATCTGGAAATGCGAAAACCTTAAATTATATACCACACAAACAGTAAATTATGTACTGTTATAAGTGCATATGCCAGGAAGTGTCAGTAAATGTTTTTACTATGACTATTTGTCTTTCTTTCCTTTCTTTCTTTTTCAATTTGTCTTCTTTTTAAGGAGCTCAAAGCACTAATGAACACAAAATGAGTATAATCTTGTAACTAAAATTAAAATCTTAATAAACTTATTACTGTGAACTAAAAATATAATAAACTGCTTAGGGTTGTCTTATATAAATGTTCAAAATGTTTCACAAATAATATTGACACATTGATAAATAATATTCACAAATAATATAATGACAAAAATGATATTTTAGATTAAATAATTTAAAAATATTATGTTTGTTTAATTCGCTAATTAATATACATTAACTAGATGATTTCTTAATATTGGTATTCGACTGGGAATTTTCTAGTAACTATTTCAAGTCTTTGCTTTAGGAAAGTCCGAGGGAATGTCAGCGTCTTCCATTTCTCCATCAACATCACTGTCATCCGCATCATAGATGATACAGTCTGCATCTCCGTCCATAGCATTACCGAGTCGAACTGACAACTTTGAATTAAGATACAATTAACACGCCGAACAAGAATTAATTTAAAAGTCAAACAACAAATTTCCAATCCATCTTTGCCTTCAGTCTTTAAGAAAATTATGTTTTAGTTCTCGTTTCAACAGATTGCGCCAGTAGCTTAACTCCTGTCCAGCCATTCTTATCTTATCAGTATAGCTTATCACTATAGTTTATGTCGTTCATTTGCGCTTTGGCAGCTGAGGCTGATGGTTCGGTAAAACCATCGAAACTAATTCTGTGAAAATTTCAAAATATAACGCTGATTTTTATTTTTTGATTACTAAATTAAAAGTTGACAACTTTTAGTTTTAAAACCTAGCAGAATACGCAATTCTTTTCTGTCCAGAATCACATATTGCATCACAGAAATAGAGAATTAAATTTCTTTGCTCAAATAAACAGAGGTGAGGTTAATTTAGTACTAGCCTCCTAATTCGTTATTTTTGATTTGGGCGTTTCCTCTCTATTCCAAAAATAGTTATAACTTTTCTGAACTGCGTCATTTCTAGATCAATCATTGTCATATGGTTTGCATAACGCTGATGACGTGGCTAATTCAGAAACTTAACTCAAAGTTTCGAGAACTGAAACCTTTCTTTTAACAAGCAACCTAAACCAAAACCTTCTGTTGGTGAGTTTCCATACTGGATTTAATTGCGCACTTTGGCTTCTGCCTCCTTTGCTGTTAAGACGTTGCTTCGCTCCCTTTCTTCCTATCCCAATAATATCAAAAATGTAAATGTTCGCGAATATGCACAATTACATTGTAAATTGTGGCTGCAAATGTAAAGTGAAATAAGACTGAATATTTAATCTTACTCAGCTGTCAAGTTTCCTTTTCAATATGGATCTACGTTCTACGCCACCACCATTACTAAGTCTTTTTCATTACTTTTTATCTTACATATTCCCCGAGATTTACATATTCTTTTATCTTACATATATGATGAAGATTTAGTTTTGGGATGAGACAATCGACTAGAAAAGGCACTCATTATTTTGCACTCTTGATTGGGATGGTGACAGGTATAGCTCGCATATGAATGGGATGCGTATTGAAGGAGAAACTTGCAGACGTTGAATACTTTTTACATAATTTTATTTAATTACATTAAGAGGTCACATAATTTTATTTACTTGAAAAATAATTTCTTAGGACATATTTTCTTTTTTTCATATCATTATGGTGATAGGAATGATATGAAAAATGAATGAAAAAAAGAAAATTTCTTAGGACATATTTTCTTTTTTTCATTCATTTTGCATATCATTCTGGGTGTGACAAGCACCCCCCCCCCAATTCTATACATTTTTAAATAATAGATGAAAGCCGCACAGCGGTTAATTTCATGCTCGTGTAGCGATAGAGGGAAGGAAAAGTAAAGCATATTTAGTAGTTGGGGTATTTATAAGTCCTTTGTTTCAGTTTTGAATGCTGATTGGACAAGAACTTTCGCACTTCATATCGCTGCAGAAGAAATTAATTACGCAATTTGTGACACAGTACAGAATCTTTGAAGGGAATCACGCTTAACTACATCATTTCAAAATTAATCTATGTCAGATAATTCTTGCATAATGCTAATAAAGCAGACACTTACATAATACTTCAACCAATAATGATTTCAAATTAGCAAGCAAAACTTATAATTAGCCAATAGAACTAAAACTAAATTATTCTGAACTAAAACTAAATTATCTGAACTAAAACTAAATTATTCTGAACCCAGTTGTCATCTTTGGAAGGAAACGTCGTATTCCCTCTCTCTTTCCAGTCTAGCTAGATCGTTATGGTTGCTTTTTTTTTTTCCTTCTTTTTTTAGTCCAAAGGGCGTTAGCCCTGAAGGGCTATTAATTTCAAAACGGCATTTTACGTTGATTCACTTTCCAAACTGTTGCCACCGAACATTATTGCCGGGTATTATATTTAAAGAAGCTAAATAATGAATAATGTGCATGAATGTTTCTCGCATTGTGAAGAAACAACGGTACCTACAGCCATTTAATTTTGAATAACGTAGTCTTCCAACAGAACATAGGCACTTGGAAGCCCAGATTTTGAATTTCAAATTTGTTTTATTATCTGTTTAAAATTTTGTAAAACTTTAACGCATTTTTTGATTAACCAATTCAACGATTTCAAAGCAAGCAATGGCACTGTACGAAAAAAAAAAAAAAAAAATTATCTGCAGTGAGCAAGACTGTGTATTGGAAATTTATCCTCTTTTTAAATTATCTTTCAATATTGCTGTTGAATTGAATTTTATGGTTAAGTGCAAAGAACAGGATATTTAATAAAGGTAATATACAAAACGTTAGAAAAAGTTCGTTCTTTGGGCGTAATATGAAATCTGAAAAC